AAATAATAAATTTCCGAAGTCAAAGTAAAGGTTCAATGACTCCCTAAGCCTCTTTTCACTTTATCCTGGAGGGCCTGGGTAAGAGGTGGTGCCATCCCGGTCCACAAATCATCTTTCCTTCTCCCATGGGATCATATATTAACAACAACAATAAATCATTTGTGGAGCTTATTCTTCAGACAAAAATCATTTTTAAAATATGAAAAATTTCAGACTCCTGAGTTTGTAGCTACAAACCCAAGAATATTTAATGACCTAAAAAGTTACAAAAAGTAAAATGTATAGAGGACATATTACTTTAACATTAAGGATATACTTAAATATAATTGATATCTGGATTGATAATATTTTAAGTTCAACCTGCTAATGAAATGAAAAAACTGATATCTTAGCAAAAACAAGATAAACTGTACAACATACCCATAAAAATAAATCATTACTAAAAGACAGAAAATAAAGGGAAAGGAAAGACAGAAAGAAAAAAGAAAAAAGGAAGGAAGGAAAGATAAAAGAAGGAAAGAAAGAAAAGGAATGAGTTGAAAACTAAAAAAATATATATATATACCTACACACACATATATTTTATGTATATACAAAGGACCATTATAGAACTAACACACATTGAATTTTAAAGTAAAATGGTGTTTATCCAGCACCACAGGAGAGAGCGTTGAGTTTTGTTATTCTCAATTCTCACTCATGACATGCAGACTGTGGTTAAACTTGTGCTAGGAAAATTAGGAGAAACAGTCCAGAAGTTTAGAAAGTTTCTGGGAATCGTAACTGCTTAATTACAATAATTTAGTATCAGACAAACCTCAAGGTTTATTTAGAAAGCTAAAAGAGAAAAATTGTCAGATATGAACTTCCTTCACTGTAAAAATCCTAGTTGCTTTTGTGGTTAGAGGAAGGCAAGAGAGAATTTTTTACTGCACACTTTCTTCCAAAATTAGTTTGTATATTGACAAAATAATAGAGTCTCTAGAAGATATATTTCAACCATAACGTGAAGCCTTGTCTGACTTTTAATGAAAAAAATCCAAAGCTGGTATTACACAACAGATATGATTTATGAGTTTCAATCAGGTCTACTTAAATTTTCGTCTCAACTCTCCAGCGAAACATTAGGTTGATGAACACTACTTGCCTAATTCCTCAGGTCTCACAGACTTTTTATCTACCTTGATCCCACTAGACTGAAATAATTTAAACAGATGGGGCATATACAAACCTATAATTCAGAGTATATTTTCCCTGTTTCCTTTCCTCCCAATGCATTTAACTCGTGAGGACTACATCTCCCAAGATGTAATGCTGGACACGCCTCTCCCTGCCCCTACACATAAACTTCCCATGCTCTTGTTTTCTAGGAATCTCAATCTCTATTGGATGCAGTTGTTACGTATGGCTGGGGTACAATGAGGGCGAGAGGTGTATGTGTCTCTGTGTAGCTTGAGAGAAGCAGGGAACCAGCAGATTGGCTTAAAAACATCGCTCATTTAATAAC